TAGCAAAGAGAAAAGCCATTTTTCTTCCATTGGATGTGTCGGGTGTTGGTCACGTAGTGGTCACAGAGTGTTACCTCCTGGCAATGGTGGCATGTGGCTATTACGTGGCCTTCTGTCACCCGCTGGGCATGTCCCAAAGACTCTGTGTCCATCTCATGGTTGTTTCATTCCCAAGTGGGTGCGTACAGGCACAAACAATGGGCATTTTACAATTCTCCCTCTGTGGCACTGGTGTCATTGACATGTTCTTGTAGGACACCTCCCTGGTGCTGTCACCCTCCAGCTCTGTCCCTACCATCCGTAACAGCCTACCTGTTATGGCTTTTTGGATAGGCGCCTTCGGCAGCCTGACTAGCCACCTTGCCTGCGTTTTCATCCTCTTGGTCATACCGAGGATCTGCTCTGACAAGGGTAAATGCCATCGCCACCTGCTACTCCCACCTGACTGTGATTAGCACCTTCAATGGAACTGGCTTCTTTGTTAATTTTAAGATCCAGTCCAACTACTCCAAGGCTGAAGATAAGGTATTTTCAGTGGTGACCCCCATGTTAAACCCCCTGATTTACAGCCTCTTGCAATGAACCCTAGACATGAAATGCACCCTGAGACAGGTTATAAAAAGTTGTTGTTTCTCCTTCTAAACCTACCATGATAACACCTGGTGTGGATCACCTGCCCCATACATGGAATCTAGTTGTATATCGTCTTGTGCTTGGGCATGATTTGCATTGGGACTTCACCACGGTCGCTCACCAGACATTTTTTACAGCTACCTCTCAGCTGCCTTTGTAAGCTAGTGAGGCTGGGTGAGAAGGGAGGGAAAGCACTGAGATTTTTGCCCATCATTGATTGTTTTGTATCATTTTCTATTTCAAGGCTTAACAAGAAACCTCTGCTGGAGACCCAGGTATCACAGCAGGGAGCACCACAGGTGTCAGACTTTGAGATACAAAGATCTTCAGTGCACTGACCAGAGCCATCCTCTCCCTATCTCCTGCCTCTGGGGGGCTACTGCTGAGATACAAACTTTTAGCATGTATCTCACCATTGCTTCCTTGTGCCACTGTGACAGAAATCACCTCTGTCATATGCCCTATACCAGGGGTGGGCAAGAGGCTGCCAGTGGGCCAAATATGGCCCACCAAGCCACCGGATCCAGTCCAGGGCCGCCTTGGGCAGAGAACAGCTCAGACTTTAAAAAGCCAGCTGTTCTCCATTCCAGACAGCTGGGGAGGGAGGAGGGAGACTTTTCATGCTCTTCCCACCCTCCAGCAAAATCTCTTAGCTCCCATTGGCCAATCTCTCTTCTTTCAGCCAATAGGAGCTGAGACTTTTAGCTGGGAGCAGGGGCAGTGTAGGAAGCCTTTTCACTTCCTCCTTGATCCCCTCCCCCTCATGCCTGGAGCAGAGCCACATGGAGCAGCCTGCAGCAGACAGCCTGCCTCAGGTTCCTGCTGGTAAGCACCTCCCAGCCAGAGCCTGCCTCTGGCACCTCAGCCCCTCCCTTCCCCAACCCTCTGCCCCCCTCCACATACCCAAACCCTCTGCCCCCTTCTGAACCCATACCCCCTCCCAGATCTGGCACCCCAATGTCATGCCCCGGATCACAATCCTCTCCCACCCTAGGTCACATCCCAAAATCCTGCACCCCAGTCCCCTACCCTAGGCCACAAATGCCTCCTTCACACAAACTCCCTCCCAGACTCCATTCTCCCTCTTGAACCCCAATCTCTTACCCCCAAGCTCCCCTCTGCACCCATCCTCCATCCCAGACCCAGGAATTCCTCCATTAATATCCTGGACGAGTGTGGCCCTTGACCACTTTCCAAAACCTTGGAAGGGTCCCCCCCATCAAAAATTATTGCCTACCTCTGCTCTACACACTTTAGTAATACTCTTTGTACAAAAGTATGCCGTGTAATGTATCATTTGAAAACTCCTCGTTTGCTGATTGGAATCATCTTTTAAAATATGTGTGGCAACGTTGTATGTGACGTCATGAACAGATGTTCCAAACTGGGCTTGGTAAACAGGCCTGTCTAAGCTGTAGTTAGCGTCATCAAGCAGGAAGAGAAACAAAGGATGCTGAAACAGATGAGGAAAAAGCAGCAGGGAACATCCCTCCACATAGACTTTTTGTCTTCTTGTACCCAGCTAGAAATGTTTCTCAATGAGGGAGTAGGAAAAGTCGACATCCTAAGACACTTCTCTCTCACGCACACTAAATCTGAAGGGGTAAAGGAAGCAGCCATTGAATGGAAGTGGGGTGTCCAATGTAAGAAGTTTGGTCAGTAAATCTGCACAGTGAGAAAACCTTGCTCTGCATTTCACATTGTTTAAGTGAGGCTCCAGATGCATTTTAGCTTTAATTTTCGTGTAACCGTGTCTGACTTTTCTGCCTCGGTAGTTGCGCTCGCATGACATCGCTCTTTGCAGTTAAATCAACTTGTTTTATTATTTTAGCTCATCCAGTGTGTTTAAACTGAAGGGTCTGGGATACTAAGTCAAGCACGTATTCTTTCTCTTCAAGAAATAATGGACAATGGAACTTGCATTGTTCAGAAGAGGGCTGGTGGGCACCACATTTCTGGGGGAGTATCGAAGACTGGGGAGTGTGTTGGGGTCAACCTGCAGTGTGACCAAGGGTTTTGAGAGCTAGAGTGTCACCCAGTGCAGACTGCACCTATACATAGACACACAGGATGTGCCCCGTATGCTGGAAGGTTGTTTGTGAGTGGCCCAGGTGGAAGCCACTTCAGCAAGACATTGTAAGGCACTCAAGGATGGAGGTGACACGTTGCTGATTAGTCTGGTTGCACCCTGGTATATCACAGCCACCCCCCTAGGAAAGATCTCAGTAACACCAAAGATAGGGAGGGCTAACTGACCACAGTGATAGATTGGTATGAAAGGGTGAGATCACCCATGAACTAGGACCATGCTCTGATCCGTGGCTGCATACGCACAAGGAGTCATCGCGTACCCCCAAATTGATCCATGACAGGTCCAGCAGTGCCTCTTTCCTGCTTCACTGTGGTGGCAGAAATTGTCCTCCCCCCTTCCCCCACCACCACCACCAGCTGGTGCAACTCAGCGCTACAGGGCACATTGGTGCCTCTTCTCCTCATGGTGACCAACCTTTGAGGCATCGTACGGCTGGTTCCATTCAGAGGAGACATGGATGATACAAGTCAGTTCTATTTGTTGTGTAACCCATGCAGGGGAGAGGTTACAATGAATGCCCATAATGCCCTGCTTCCCTGAACTCCAGGAGAAACGACCAACAGCAGGCAAGGTCCATGATCAGAAACTCCCAGGCATGCCACTCTAGTCCCATGCCTGTGAAGTCTGACACCCCTGATTTCTCTCAGAGTCATGCTCATGACTCCTGGCCTCTCTGCCTCCGACACACCCAGGCTGTGTCAACACTTGGAGCGGTGACGGGGATGGCCAGCTCACGTAGACACTCACATACATGCTTGTCGAGTGAGAGCACCAAGAAACAGTGGTGCAGCATGGCCAGCAGCACGGCAAGTCAGGACCAATGCGGGGCCGGGAGGGTATGTACTCCAGGCTGCTAGCTGGTGCCACCACTGGCTGCTGCCCTGCTACCATAGCTACACTACTATTTTTAGTGAGCGAGTTGGATGAGAGCTAATGTAAGAATGGCTACTCAAGCTAGGAATCCCCAAGAGTAGAGGTGAACACCACCCATGGCCAATACTCAGCCACCTTGTGTTTGCAGCTAGAGAAATCTCTGCTAATCTACCAGAGTTAGCTCTGGCTTGGCCACACAACTTGAGAACATTGTCCTCAGCTGTTGCATTGAAAGGCTTGATTGCTCCTTTTGTTGAGCCTGAAAGATGGTGGGATGGTGGTTGGCACTTCCATTGGCTATCGTGAGGTCTGTGATTGCCTTGGGATCCACCGGCCCATTGGCAATCTTCCTTCACTGGAACTTTGTAACAATTCTCCTCCAGGCTGTGAGTACAGAACACAAGACTAATATGACCAATGGAGGCGTCTGAAGAGGCAAGTGATACTATTACAGAAATGTCACAAGAGAACCAATCATTGGAACCACAATGGGATCATCTCAGGACAATTGTTTGCACCATTCAGCTAAGAAGGAACCAGGCACCAGCTGAACAGAGAGTCTCAAAGCCAGGATGGTGGTTCAGAGCAATGGGTTACCGCTGACCACATACCTGTCATCCACCCTCCCAGCCACCAGGAGGCACTGCATCATCATCAAAGCACCGAGAAACCAGAGCTGGGTCAAGCAGGCAGCAGAAGAAACGGTTTTCCTCTCCGCCAACAAGTCCACTGGCACTTTGGGGGGGAGACGTGTGGAAATAAAGACATCTCCCAAAAGCCAGGTTAGTCAGGAGAAAGCACTTGGAAATGTAAAGCTGAGAGTTGATCATGAATAATATAATCATACCAAATGTCCCCAAAATGCTGACCACACAGCCTATTAAAAACCATGTGAAAACGGTGACATAAAACTCGACCACTGGTGAAGCCTGTGAAATTTAGTCATTGCTTTGGTGAATGGCTACTGCGTGAGGAAGGCAGGTGACAACCATCAAATGGCCACAGTGACCTTGTTTCAGTCCGACCCCTGAGAATTAAGACATGCAGCCCTGTGATAGCCTCCCCCAGGGAAGCTGACCCACCTCGTAACCCCTTCTCTAAGGACACAGGCACAAGAGACTGGTTGTGATTGGTGTGGCTAAATCCCCGGCCCTGTTTTCAAAATTTCTAACCAGGGTTCCATGTTGTGTCAATATTTAACGTGGGGGACCTGAAGAAATGCATTAAAATGAGTGAAACTGTACAAAGTTGGGTCATCGACAAACTCTTCCAACTCTTCCCTTACTCACTTCACTTCAACTATTCACTCTGAACTCTTTCCAAGGAGCCATTGTTGTTTTCAACCCAACAGAGGTGTCCACTCATCAGACATCAGCCCCATTTGCTCATAAAAGGACCTCCCCTAGGGGACTAAATTCATTTCTATGACCCTTTTCACAGCGTTCTTCACCTCTTTGTTCCTCAGGCTGTAGATTAAGGGGTTCAACATGGGGGTGACCATGGTGTAGAACACGGAGACCACTTTGTCCTGGTCCCGCGAATGCTGGGTGCTGGGCTGCATATAGATAAACAGAGCTGGGCCATAGAAGATGGTGACGACGGTCACATGGGAGGTGCAGGTGTTGAACCCTTTGCGCTTTCCCTCGGCGGAGCGGATCTTTAGGATGTTGGAGAAGATCAACACGTAGGAGATGAGGATGGTCAGGCTGGTGAAGATCCCAGCCACACAAGCCACAGCCAAGAGGATCACGTGGTAGACGCTGGTGTTGGAACAGGAGAGGGACAACAGTGGGGAGATGTCACAGAAGAACAGGTCAATGACATTGGGACCACAGAAGGATAATTTTAATGTGGTGATGGTTTGGATCATTCCATTTATAAACCCAGCGAGGAAGGACCCAGCGACCAGCTGGACACAGAATCTGGGGGACATGACAGCAGTATAAAGCAGGGGGTTACAGATGGCCACGTAACGGTCGTACGCCATCACAGTCAGAAGGAAAGACTCTGTCACCCCAAAGAAGCTGACAAAGCAGTATTGGCACACACAGGCGGCATAAGAGATGACTTTCCTTTCTGCTAGCAGGTCAGCTAAAAACTTGGGAGTGATAAATGTGGAGTACCAGAAATCCACAAAAGCCAAAGTACTCAGGAAAAAGTACATAGGAGTCTGCAGCTGGGCAGCCAGCCTGATTAGCAGGATCATCCCAAGATTCCCCAGCAGTGTCACAGCATAGACCACAAGGAACAGCACAAAGAGGGCGATCTGGAGCTCCGGGCGATCTGTGAATCCCGAGAAAATGAACTCTGTGGCTTCGGTGCAGTTTGACCAGGTCATTTCTATGGTACATGGTCCCTGTGTGAAGAAGACAGATGAAGAAGGTCAATTGGCCACCGTGACTTGCTTGTAGGCGGCACACCGCACTCTCAGACGTGCCTCTCTGTTCTACCTTTCATGGCCTCTGGTCTGGCATCTCACCTGGTATTATTTCGTCCCACAGAGACCAGGTAAAGTATTCTGGGCCACCTCCCACTCCTACAGACTTTGCAAACCCAGGGCAGTAGCCAGCCAAAGAGGGGGACACAGAATAGCTTAAATGGCAGTGCAGGTGGGCAAGGAGACAGAGGCAGAGATGCCAAGACAGACTGTGAGATGAAACAATCAAACTGTTGGATAAATATTTAACCTCTTCTTCTGTCAGCAAAACTCAAACCCCTATTTAGAAAAAAGAACCATTGATAAACATACCCTGAAGCTGGTGTGCATGACACCATGGAGATCAAAATAAAAGAAAGGGGGGTGTGTGGTGTGGAAAAGAAAATATCGACTGAAAACGGCAGCAGGAAGAGTGTGTTTTAGGTGGACCTCTCTGACGGGGGGCCTGTGTCACATGATGGCGTCCACACACAGTTATTCCGCCCCTCACACAAAGCCAATCAGGGCACAGCCTAGAATCATAGAACCAGAGAACACTAGAACTGGAAGGGACATCAAGAGGTCCTTGAGTCCAGTCCCCTGCCCTCACAGCAGGACCCAATATCTTCCAGATCATCCCTGATAGCTGTCTATCTAACCTGCTCTTAAACATCTCCAATGATGGAGATTCCACAACCTCCCTAGGCAATTATTTATTCCAGTGTTTAACCACCCTGACAGTTGGGAAGTTTTTCTTAATGTCCAATCTAAACATCCCTGGCTGCAGTTTAAGCCCATTGCTTCTTGTCCTATCCTCAGAGGCCAAGGAAAACAATTTTTCTACCTCCTTGTGACACCCTTTTAAATACTTGAAAACTGCTATCATATCCCCTCTCAGGGTATGTCTACACTACAAAGTTAATTCGAACTAACAGCCGTTAGTTCGAATTAACTTTC